TCTATTTATCATATAAGAGGGACAGAATAATCGCAATAAAATCATCCAGAAAAGAAAATGGGGAAACTTGCTTCAATCACTGGCTCATAGTAGTTCTGAAATCCTCCCAGACAATTACCATGAGAGCTTTCTATTCAGGATGGAGATTATTTATTGACTTTTCTTTGCTACTGTCCTACAGGGAAAAATATCTTATTCAGCATTCCTCATAATGGCTCTTTTCATTTGTGAGCTTGTTCTTCTACATGGTTCCCATGGCCATGTCTTAAGTATACATTAGGAAATTGCTCTTTTGATAGTTATGCGGTTTCCTCTTCTTTTATTATCAAGCTGAAGATTCAGTCAAATATTTCATCTGCAGTCAAATACTACTATTGTATAACAGACATTCTAATTAAATCTCAGAGTTCAATCAAGAACCCTGGCGAAACCCTTCACAGTGCTTCAATATACCAACATTTCTAAATTTAATATTACAGTTGTTTAAAATTGTGTTATTAATGGCAGGTTTGATTGTATATAAATTATACTAATGATTAGACATCCCAAAAACCCCAAATTCATGTGACACCCACTTTAGGAAAAAAATGTATTATTATAGGAAGAGTGCCAGAGATGAATTGCTAAAACCAAGGAAAAATGATCCCACCCGTGAACTCTTAATCTCAGTATATAAACACAGCATCATATGTCTAATACTAGCCTCACAGACTAACAAGGGCTGGGCCACTCTACTTAACAATTCTTCATGTACTTACTGTCTTGGATACCCAGGTCACTCCCATCATACTGTTTTGCCTCACTTCCAGCAACAGAAGGGAGAAAGAACATAAAAAGTTAAGATTGTAGATTAGCAGACAGGTGTGGCAGTGTCTACCTGTAACTCTTGTATTCAGTAGGTAGAGGTAGGAGAGTTACCTCAAGTGCCAGGCTAGACTGGTTTATGTAGTGAGTTCCAGGCCAGCCAGGGTGACATGGTAAGAGCTAGTCTCACAAATCAACCAAACCAAATAAAGGAAAATATAGACAGCAACACACACGCAAATCCAGGGAGCAGAGAAAACATGGGAGGAGAACACAGAATACTTATTTGGTGAGTCCTCCCTGCCTCTGCCACAACATTTAACCCTTTCTTTCAGTGGGACATCAGCCCTTGTGTCAATATCTTTAAACAGCTATGCTAACAATTACATTTAATAATTTTCTGGGCACTTGAAACTTGAGATAATTGCCATTTTAGCAGGAATGCCTTTTGAGACCTCTCATGCAAGGAAGGACAGGGTTAGGTGTTCTCTCAGTCTATGGCAGGGGTGTCATGACAACATATAGAAAACACTCCCCATTTAGTGCCAAAATAAACAAAATTCTCTTGCACTGAGGAGTCAGCTCCATTTTATTAAACACCAAGGATGATAAAACACACTTGCTACGTATGTATCCTCAAGAGATAGGAGTCTCCATGGTGCCTGTAAGCAGAAAAAAATTGGTGTAGCTTTGAAAAAAGGTGTCTGCAGTACTCGAAGTTATATAAGATGCAGGAAATGTATATAGTCTCACTGTCAATTATGTCTCTGACTCATGGGAAGAAAACTAAAAAGTAAGACTAGAAAGCATTAAAGATGATCCATTCAACAAATGTAAACTATATGATTCTCATCTTCGAAGTGAGCTTGATCTTTCACTTCTTTTCATTAAATTCTCACCATTTCCTAAACAGGCCAAAGTGTGCTTCCCAAAGTCTGTCAGGGGTTATGGGAGTGTGTTTATGGAATTGATAGAGAAGACCATTTACATCAGGATTTGTAAAATGTAGCTATTTTCTCCATAGTCACTGAACTTCAGCAACTGAAGACATTTTCAGATAACTCAAATGAGAATATTTTCATAGCACTAAAAAGTTTCATGGTATTAAGTATACTGGAGAAATTCTAACATAGTGGTAAGTTGAAGATGGAACATTGTATGACATGTGTGTCTTTGATTGGTGCAGACAGCTCTGCAAAGCCTTTGGACTCAAGCTGATTTTTTTTTCACATGCCTGGGGCATGTGTGCATCTTATGAGGGTGCTTCACCCCATACACCCTTTCTTATCTCCTCCTCCTCCCCATTCCAGCCACTGTCAAATGTCTCTGGGAACTTCCTGAAGTCTGCCTCCTCCTCTCAGAGAAAACCTGCTAGTCCTGCCCTCGGGATAAAAGGCCACCAACACAATGGCAGGGGGTAGAGGTTCAAGAACATAATTAGATTTTGTGGTTTTGGAAATAATAGGTCTGTATCTGTGACCAGGGTGCTAGAGTTCTATATTTTTCTGTGGCATTCAAATAGAGAACAGAGCAGAGTGTCTCACGTGGTACCCCAAATTGACATAAAAGAAAACAAAAACAAGTGAGTTTCCCATGCACAGCCTGCACAGTGAAGGCCATTGTTCCCTAGGAACTCCAACCGACACACCCACAGTGCTGGATCAACTGGCTAGGCCTCGGTTTACAGTAATGAAGTCACAGGTATGACAGTCCCATCCCTTGGGTGATTTTCCTCTTTGGTGACACCGAGCTGTTTCCTGATGTACTTGATGTACCTGAACTGAAAGGTACCGGAAGAAAGGTTCTTTTAGGAAGTCAAGCAAGCTCTCTCATAAATGGATCCCACACTACTGGTAGACTAGCAGGCAGCTGGCAGTGCCTCGGCTTACTGAATGTACCTTACAACACATGTAAAACAGTCTCCAAATGCTGCTCCACTTAGCTAGAAAGTCAGAGCTTATTAGAAATCTGTGTGTGCTCACTGGGATGATTTGGAGGGGAAAGCACAACTTTAGAGGAGCATATCAAGCAAAAACAGAGTATTTTTAAAGGAAATAACCACATGCTGTGTGCCTGGTCCCTCCATATTTATTACTGAAACCAAACTGAGCTGATTCCCAGCTGGGAAGAAGCACCCATGATCGCCTGGCACTGACCATACATAGTGACTTTTTCTTTTTTCTTTTCTTTTTTTTTTTTTTTTGGTTTTGGTTTTGTTTCTCTGTAGCTTTGGAGGCTGTCCTGGAACTCGCTTTGTAGACCAGGCTGGCCTAGAACTCATAAAGATCTCCCAGCCTCTGCCTCTGAGGGCTGGGATTAAGGTGTGGGCCACCACTGCCTGGCTGTGACATTTTCTTAGGATGAGCAGCACTGAGCTTTGGGAAGAACTTACTCCAATGTCCATTTTTATTACTTTATGCTCTGACAAAGCCTTCTCCCCTCCCTCACTCAGATGCTGCAGGCAGGAAAGAGGAAAACTAAAGGCACCGCTCTTGCATGCTCCTACAGGGACAGAAGGTTGAGATCCCTTGATGTGACAGTAACAAGGAAAGGGTCCAAAAATAGCAGCCCCTTCAGGGTTTCTGACAGTCTCCTCAGTACAAGCTCAGGCTATGGAGCAGCCAGATGGTTCAGTGGGTACAGGCAACTGCCACCAAGTTTGGCAACCTGGCAAGCATCCTTCCCAGGAAGCCACATGGTGAACAGAGTGAACTAACTACACCAAGTTGTAAAGATTTTTTCTGATCTCCACAGATGTGCTGTGACACATATCATTATCATCATCATCATCATCATCATCATCATCATCATCATCATCTCTCTCTCTCTCTCTCTCTCTCTCTCTCTCTCACACACACACACACACACACACACACATTACACACCACACACAGATTTTTTTTTTATCTTAGGCTCAAACATCTCTATATGCCTACCATAGCCACATAGTTAGGCACTGGGTCATGAACTAAAGAAGATGAAGTCTTTGCGCTGCTGAATGTGGTGGCCATAACCAACTTGTTTGTTCTCAATGCCATTTATCTGAAGCGTTGTTATTGCTGTTATTGGTCTCTCCCCAATCTTGACCTGGAAAGTTGCTTCCACACTGAAGACTCTGGCAAGTGACAGGGACAGATCCATGAAAAAAAAATTCCATGTATGAATGGACCAAAGAGGGGCAGCAAAGTGCACATTCTCAGTTGTGATTAATGAATTCATTGATTAGACTCTTAAACAAAGAAGTATCCTTGGAGAAGAGCACTAGAAAGTCTTAGAGGAGGATGGACCAAAGGACTGGGTGGATGTCTCAGACTTTGTCTGGGAGGAGGTATGATCTCCATGCAATGCTTGCGACCTAGGTTTGGTATCTGGTGACTAGGAACTTCGGCTGTACTAGGAAGGGATCTACAGCTAGAGGAAGGAGCCCCCACTTGCTTTATGCACATGCCAAAGCTCCTCATTTCTTGTGAATAATTTTGTTATAATTTTTTAAAAAGAAATTTGTGAAGAGTGTTGATAAGCGCTTGCGACTACACAGCTCCAAGACATGAGTTTGACTCTAATAACCATGTAAAAAGTAGGATGTAGTAGCATGCTTATTAGATAACACCTAGGAGGCAGATTCAGACAGATCTTTGGAGCCCACAGTTAGCCCGACCAACCTAAATCAGAAAATACTGGCTCCTAGTGAGAGACTCTGTCCTCAGAAAACAAAGTAGATGGTTCCTGAGGTTAACCTGTGGCCTGGACGTGAACATGAACCCACAAGCACCTTCAAATGCATGAACTGGCACACATACTCACACATCCATTACCCACACCAACACACACACTCACACTCACACCCACAAGAAATTTGTGATGAAGACAAGTTTCTCCATTGTAAGTGTCTGTAAAATAAAAAAAAAAGTTTCAGGAAGCATTTCTTAGCTTGTTAGTGAGGGAAGACAATGGTCCTCCACAAAAAAAAAAAAAAGAAAAGAAAAGAAAAAAAAAACAAAAAACAAAAAACAAAAAAAAAACGGGTCGTGGATTACATTTGGAATTTGAAGCCAGCTGCACTTTTCTATCTGGAGTGAAATAATACATGTGTTTATGGCTGACCATATATAGTATCTGGAGCTCCTGAACAAAGGAAAGTTAAGAAGCCAACAAACTTGTGCGTTTTTCTTGGCAAGCCCTGCTGCTACCTCACCCGGAGGTTCTGACATCTTCGAGTTTTGCAAAGCTGTTCTTCATTGGTTCCACAGTCTGCGGTTCTTCTGTTTGAACTAAGAAAGCAAGCCTTCACTCTCTAGCACACTGCCACCTTTTGTCCGGGAGAAGCATAGCAAGCAGCGGAAGAGGTAAGTAATGAAAAATCTTTTCTGTTTTTTTCAGTGGTTATAGAACCAAGCACGGGCTCCAGTGTGAGAAGCTCCCTGAACACAAGGAAGCGATGTTCCATGAACACTGAATTAATAGCCCACCTGAGTCTTCCGGCCCAGGCTGGGGCCTCCACTCTTAAATCTGTGAAATCATGTGCTAACACTGCAGGAAGCCCTTTCATGCAGAAGGTGATTCTTGAGCAGCTAGAGGGAGTAGACGAGGGGGAAAGTGGATATAAATTATATTTTAATTAAATAGAAAATCCCATGCCAAGTGACTTAAACTTCCATGACTCTCAATACTTCTAGCTATTTTCATTACTTTTGGGGATTCACCTCAGATTCTAAGTTAACAAAAACCAAAGCTATTTTAAACACTCCTGGATCTGTTAGCATCTAGGCCCCTTTCTTGAACAGAGGTTTCCTATTTCTGGTAAGTGAGAACTCTCTTATTTGCCTCCCACAGTATGGCTGATATAAGTATCTCCATGCCAGAGATGATGATGGCCCTACTTAGAATAAACTCTGATCCCCAGTGCAGCATAGCTTTAGAACATGAAATTACATGGGTCTCTTTTTACTCTAACTCCTATTCAAAATTATGGGATAACTTTCACTCTGAACAGAATTATTTCTTCTCCAAATACCATTCTCACATAAAACATTATAAGATAGTTTGCGGATAATTGTCAAACTACTCCAATTTTAAGGCTGAATTCACTTGTCTAACTGTGTATATGTTGTTTGTCTGGTATTTTGTTTTCTGCTATAGTTGCCAAATTATTTTTTGCTAGAAAATTGATTATTACAAGATGAATAGTAAGTTCTGTGGCTGAGAGTAAGAAACACAGACACTGTACTCTATGAAGACAATCTGACACCTCTTGCTTCGTGGTTATCCTTTGCTATGTTTGACTTCTACTTCTCTGTGACGAGTTACACAGGAATGAAAGCATGGCAGCTGGCCTGGTCTTCCTGTCCTAGATGATAACTCTGCCCTCAGTGGGTCAGACAGCTTCTATTGCTTAACAAAGACAGTGAAAAATCACCCTTAGAAAGTAAAACCTTGTTAAGAGGCATCTAAATACCCACTACAAACTCATGTCACTTAGCAGTTGCAAAATAACATATTCCTTTATAGCCAAAGGAAACCATATTCTTGATGCCACTATTAACCGTATCATAGATAAAAAGATTCTCAGTGAATAAGGAAAGTGCGGGCGTTGAGCTTTCTTTGAGTGTTAAACCAACTCTATTCTATAGAAGTTAAAATAGGAAAGGGCAAATTCCTTCCCCTTGATTGGCCAATTAAACTAAAATCTAGGAACATTTCAAAGTTTTGTGTTAGTTTTTAGAGAAGCTTTTGAATATGTTTTGTCTTTGCACTGTTTAAGGAACATTATTTCAGGTTTTATACCTTTGTCCCTTGGGGAGGACAATATTTCCTCCACGTGAACTGGCAGGTGGTGGGTGACTAATCCCTCACGACTCACTGTGAGTTGAGGTCTGGGAAGCACTTTTAAACTCCTTATCTTGCTTGACCCTTCTCCTGCCCTGTGGAGCTGGTGGAGAAGACATCCTTATCTTCCCTTTGCCTGTGAGGGAAATGAAACTCATGGCCCTTCTGTGGTTTGCCTAAGCCAGACAACTGGTAAATAGTCAAACCAAGCCTTGGACTTATTAATCAAACATTAAACCCAGCAACTCACAATGCTGAGCAATAAAAAGAGAATGACTTTCTTTTTTTTTCTTTTCTTTTTTTTTTTTTTTTGGTTTTTCGAGACA